ATCTGGCTCAGGCAGGCTTTGAAAGACCATTTTAATAGTGAACCAGAGTAGTGTGTGTTGTTGTAGTGTGCTGTACCTGATCTTGCTCTTTTGCAGCCTGGTATGAATCTTGCAGTGACTGCTCTGTATGTAGGAATATAACATTGTCAATGCACCTATTAATATTGTCTGTGAATGTAATGGGCTCTGTGAAAAAATGAAGTAATAGGAAATTGGTGGGTGTCAGACCAGCTCAGCACCAGATTTATTTAATAATAATAATAAAGATTAATTTTGTTCCAAAGATAGAATTTTATTCTGTAACATGAACCAAGCAATTAAAAAAAACATTGATAAATGAAGGGAACAGAACTTATGAAGGGGAAAGAAAAACTCCATTTCAGGTACACATACATCAACAATGGCTTTCACAGGTCACGATATGTGAAGCTGTGATTGTCTTTAAAGTCCCCCTGGGTGGAGTGGTAAGCATGATGCTCTGACTGCTGAGGTTACATGGAATGTAGAGGGGGGGTATAGGGAGGTCCTAATATTACAATCTCTATAGGCTGCAGAGGGAGGCGAGCACAGGATTGCTGAACCTGCAGATCCACCAAAGTCTGCAGCATCTCTGTTCTCTGTTTGAAAAGCGCAAACATGTCATGCTATACCTCCTTCTCCTTTTCCTGCTCCTTTCTCCTCCCGACTATATCCTTCTCCAGGCTGTCTGCAAGGGTGATTCTCCAGGCCCTGGTCTTGTTCTCTGATGCAGGACTAGCTTGTAGGATCTCCAGGAACATGTCATCCCAAGTCCTCTTCTTTTTCCTCTGTATCTGGCTTAGTCATTCTGAGGGTGTGGAGGGGGAGACACTGACCGCTACAATGTCAGCAGCTGCAGAAAAACATACAGGCACCATTGTCAGTAGGGTGACCAGATGTCCCAATTTTCCCAGTCCCGATTTTTGGGTCTTTTTCTTATATAGGCTCCTATTGCCCCCAACCACCTGTCCTGATTTTTCACATTTGCTGTCTGGTCACCCTAATTGTCAGTGTATTCGTGATGGAAACTGAAACTTAAGATACTGAACTCACTCCCCTTGTTCCCCAAAAGTTGCAAGCACCACATTTTCACTTCTGCTTGGGATTGATAGAACAGGGCAGGGAGGGCGGCAGAGTGTTAGGGAAATGAGGGTGGAATAGCTTGTTGACATAATTATGGTTGTATAGGGAAATAGCACTGAATACTGGCACCATTTTACACAGAAGGTGGTGATTTTAGCTGATATCTCACTCCCTAGGATAACAGAGGCAGAGAAAGCACAGCTGGTGCTGGCGTCCCGATTCTGCCTGCGCCCATATGCTGCTATCCTGTGAATTGCAATGGTGCCTGTTGAAGTAATTGCTGAATGGTGTGGGAACGTGTCATAGCACGGCAGAAGAAATAAGGCAGGCCTCCCAGAAAGCTCCAGCAGAGAACTCCAGAGTACCTCCATGAAAGTTTCATCTAGAATCCTATGGAGGATTCATAGGACATCCTGGTCCACATAAACAAACTGCTCTGTGTGGCCCGCCCTCTGCCTAACTCTAGAGCGGAATGAAAAGCAGATAGCAACCCTACTTCTCTTAATTTTTTCACTACCTTTTCACAAGTAAAAGAAGAGTAAATTAACAGATGTATCCTGCTACTTTGGGGGTTCCCGCTATGTAATTTCAAAGCAAACTGCATACTTACCAGAGGTTCCTCCCCCTGCATGAGGCTCACCCATATTCCACTGTGGGACTGGCTGGATGGCAGCTGGATTTCCCTGGTCGCCTGTCTCCCATACGCCTCCTCCTCTTCTTCCCTACTCAAGGCAGGGGCCTGTGATTCCGGCTCCTTGGAAGTACTCATGGTGCTGTTGGGCGTGGTGGTGGGGTCTCCAATCGATTGTTGGCCTTCCTGGCCTTCTGATATGCTTGCCCCAGCTCCTGGGCTTTCATGCGGCACTGCTGCTGGTTCCTGCCATACCCCTTCTCCTGCATCCCCTGAGCAATCTGCTTGTAGATGTCCACGTTTCTACTGTTGGATTGGAGCTGTGCCTGCACAGCCTCTTCTCCCCACAGGCCCAGGAGAGCCAATATGTCCTGTGTACTCCAGGAAGGAGCACACCTGCAGTATGCAGTATGCAGTATGTATGACCTGGCATGGTCGGCTGGGCAGTTGCACTCAACAATGGAGAGTTGCTAGGTGTACTCACCAAGCTGAGCAACCAGGAAAAGGAATTTCAAAAATTTAAAGGGGAGAGATGGCTTTCTGTCTACCTGACCCCTGGGCCCCTAGCGGAATTCACAACAGTGTCCAGAGCTGTCAGTGTGGGGCATTGTGGGACAGCTCCTGGAGGCCAGTAACAGTTGACATAAGTAACACAGTATCTACTCTATCACTGTGTCAATCTGATTACATTGACCATGACCTAAGCTGCTCAGGAAGGTGTAGACCGACCATAGGCCATTTGACCGTTGTGTCATCTACTCCTGCTCAGAACAGGTCTAGATGACATGGCTGTCTATATTACAGTTTCCACTATTGCTAGCATCCATGCTAGATCAATGGTGACAGACCTGTCTAAATGTTTAAGATTTTCTGTTTTTAGGTCCTGACAATACTTTAGGCCTGGCCTACACTAGAAAATTAAGCTGGTTTAACTATGTTGATCAGGGATGTGAAAAATCCACACCCCAGAGCGACATAAACTGACCTAAGTCCTGTGTAGGCAGAGCTAGGTTGATGGAAGAATTATTTCATTAACCTAGCTACTGCCTGTTGAGGAGGTGGATTACCCATGCCGATGGAAGAATTATTTCATTAACCTAGCTACTGCCTGTTGAGGAGGTGGATTACCCATGCCGATGGAAGAACCACTCCTGTCCGTGTAGGTATTATCTACTGTGCCGCTGTAGTGTTTTAAGTGTAGACAAACCTTTAGTATAACTTTGATAGGGTTATTGGCCTAGTGGATGGGGGTAAGCAATAGACATGATATAGCCTGATTTTAGTAAGCCTCTTAACACACTCCCATGACATGCTCATAACCAAACTAGGGAAATGTGGTCTATGTGAAATTATTATAAAGTGGATGCACATCTTGTTGAAACACCATACTCAAAGAGTAGTTATCAACGGTTCGTTGTCAAACTGGGAGGACCGTGTATATTTCTTGAGAGCCAACAAGGATCTGTCCTCGGTCCAGTACTATTCAATATTTTTATTCATGACTTGGATAATGGAGTGGAGAGTATGCTTATAATAGTTGCAGATGACACTAAGCTGGAAGGAGATGCAAGCACTTTGGAGGAAAGGATTAGAATTCAAAATGATTTTCACAAATTGGAGAACTGGTCTGAAATCAACAAGATGAAATTCAACAAAGACAAGTGAAAAGTGCTTCACGGAGGAAGGAAAAATCAAATGCACATCTACAAAATGGAGAATAACTAGCTAGGCAGTAGTCTGATTAAAATAATTATAATTTATTTATTTATTTATTGCTGAAAATGATTTGGGTCTTACAATGGATCACAAATGGAATATGAATCAACCATGTGATGCAGCTGCAAAAAAGGCTAATATTCTGGGATGTAAACAGGATTGTTGAATGTAAGACAAGATATGTAATTTTCCTGTTCTGCTTGGCACTGGTGAGGGCTCAGCTGGAGTACCGTGTCCAGTTCTGGATGCCATGCTTCAAGAAAGAGGAACAAATTGGAGTGTCTCAGAGGAGGACAGCAAAAATGATAAAAGGTTTAGAAAATATGACCTATGAGGAAAGATTAAAAAATCTGGGCATGTATAGTCTTGAGAAAAGAAGCCTGAGGAGGGCCCTGATAACAGTCTTCACATATATTAAGGGGTGTTATAAAGAGGATGATGATCAGTAGTTCTCCATGTTCACTGAAGTAATGGACTTAATTTGCAACAAGGGTTTAGGAAAAACCTTCTAACACTAAGGATAGTTAAGCATTGGAATAGGCTTCCATGGGAGGTTGTGAAACCTGTCAGTGGAGGGTTTTAAGAATGTTAGCAAAACACATATCAGGGATGGTGTGCATTTACTTGGTCCTGCCTCAGCACTGGGGTCTGGCCTTGATAGGGTTGCCTGGTGTCCAGTTTTTGACAGGTAAGTCCGGTTTTAAGGGGACCCATACAGGCTCTGGTCAGAAGTATTGACTGGACACCAAAAGTCCAGTCACTGCATATCTGTCGTGCCCCCGCTCCCACCAGCCCAAGACTCCTTTAGCCCCCAAGTGCTGGCCCCAGAGCCAGGGAGGGGCAGAGCTGGAGGCACCTCAGCCACTAGTCCCCTCCCAGCGGGGCTGGGGAGGACACTTCTCCTGTACAGGCTGCTCCACAGGGCCTGGTCAGACATACCTCCAGGAACCTCCCACAGCTGCAGGAAGCTCCCTGAGAACTCTTTGCCTCGAGCTGCTGCTGGCCGGAGCAGGAGAGACACTGTCCCCGTCAGCCTCCCTCTTCTCTTTATGGTGAGTGAGCCTTTGGGTGGGGGTGCTTGGTTTTGAGACATTGGAGAGTTGGCAACCCTAAGCCTGGATGAAACCTCAACGTCCCTTCCAGCCCTCCAGCTCCAGGAGCCTGAAGTCAGAGACCCAGGAGTGGCACTGGCCCCGGCCTCGGTTAGAACAGCTGCTGTGCTTGAGACCTAAGCCTGCACTGCCACGGCCAGTCAAGTCAGGGGGCAGCCAGCTTGTCGGGGGCGCCTGACTGGCCTGTACTGGGAGCGGAGACTGGGCCGCAGTTTCCCCAGCTGGACGTGGGGTAATGACAGCGCTCTCCCACGCAGCCTATAATGTTAATCGGGGAGAGTCTGTACAGCAAGTGGGGCCGGGGCCCCTTTCCACTGAGAGCAGCCGCAGGGGCCAGGGCTCCGCGCAGCAAAGCGCGGCTGGTCCCGGCTGCCCGCGGATTGCAGTTCCCGCCTCAGCAGCAGCCCGGCGCCGCGCGGGGCGCAATGCCCTGGGCAGGCGGAGCCCGAGCCTTGCCAGGACGGGGGCGCTTTGCGGGCGGCTCCTTCCTGGCTGGCAGCCCCGGAGGCTGCTCCTCTGCAGGCGCCTGTTGCTCTGCCCCGGGGCGCGCTCCCTGCCCGGGGCGCCTCTGCTGTTCCCGGGGCGCTCGGCGCTTCCCCTCCCTGCCCCGGGCGCTTCTCCTCTCGCCCTCTGCGCGGGTGAAGCGGAGCCAGCGGAGCAGAGCGAAGCGCGTCTCCCTGTCAGGCCGGGTTTCTCCTCCTTCGCCGCTGCCCGCTGCCGCAACAGGAGCCGGTAAGAGAGCTAGTCCCTTGGGGGGGGGGGAGCAGGGGGTGAAGCTCTTTGGTGCTGACTGGGCACCTCTGAACCTACAATGAGGATCTGTCGTAGGGTGACCAGACAGCAAGTGTAAAAAATCAGGACAGGTGGTGGGGGGTAATAGGAGCCTATATAAGAAAAAGACCCAAAAATCGGGACTGTCCCTATAAAATCGGGACATCTGGTCACCCTAATTCTGTCGCTACTAGGGAATCCCCCCGGGCTGTTCCCAGGCCGGGCTGGCCAAAACCACCCCAACTTCTTCAGCGAGTCGGTAGCCAGAGCTAGCCCGTCCTTCAGCCCCCGCGCCCTCGCCGGGAAGGCGGAACTCTCCTGTCCCCGCCAAGCGAAGGATGCGCAGAAGGAGGGTCGCTCGCTGCGGGGCAGAGGGTCCCTGTGCCGAGGTCCCCTGTGCGAGCCAGACATGCGGAGATGTATTCGCTTGTAGAATCAGCGATGTGCTAGCCTCCAATTGAGACAATATGTTACTCACAGTAAGCAAGGTTTTCACTGTATGTGAGCCAGGGGAACTCCCCCCCCCCCCCCCATCTCACCGTCTACGTTTCCTGACTGCTCATTCAGTAATTTCGCAGGCACAGATTATTCATGTTTTCTCCTTTTAAATGTTTGTCTGCCACTTACATGATCGTTTACCTACATATATACTATGATACACTATTGAACAGCTGATAGCTCTGAGACCTCATTGTGACCGTCTTTGCTGATCCTTGGCACCAAAGAAATGTCACCGAATCAAACTGGCTTACAGAAGGGCTAGTTCAGGGGTGGGCAAACTTTTTGGCCCGAGGGCCACATCTGGGTATGGAAATCGTATGGCGGACCATGAATACTCACAAAATTGGGGGTTGTGGTGTGGGCTGCGGCTGGGGGTGCGGGCTCTGAGGTGGGGCTGGGAATGAGGGGTTGGGGGTGCAGGAGGATGCTCCGGGCTGGGACCGAGGGGTTCAGAGGGTGGGCGTCCAGGCTCTTGGCAGCGCTTACCTCAAGCAGCTCCCAGAAGCAGCAGCATGGCGCCCCTCCGGCTTCAACAGAGGCACAGCCAGGCGGCTCTGTGCGCTGCCCCGTCCATAGGAGCTTGGGGCGGGGGCAGCATGTGAAGCCCTCCGGCTGCAACTACATGTAGAAGCTGGAGGGGGGGACGACATGCTGTTGCTTCTGGGAGCCACATGGAGTGGGGCAAGTCCTGGACCCCACTCCCCAGCAGGAGCTTGAGGGCCGAATTAAAACACCTGGCGGGCCGGATGCGACCCCGGGGCCGTAGTTTGCCCACCCCTGGGCTAGTTTAATCAGGCCAGCTAATGCCATGCGACAAGGAATATAACGTACCCCAGGACTCCGGTATGTTATATTCTCCTTAAAACCATTGTAACTGCAACAGGAATGATCGCTTACTAAGAAATTTGGATTGCAGGTCCCTTATTCACCAATTCAGAAATGCTAACATTCTTGACTGCATATTATCCATTGGGCAGTGAATCGGTGTTGATAAAGAGATTTAAACTCCCTGCAAGTCAGCAGTTCACATAGAACCGCTGAGCATTCTTCCCTCTTCAGTCTTTAAAGTCTCATTTCAGCAAAATGCTCACGAGTATGCATAATTTTAAGCATATTTTTAAATGCTTTGCTGGATTGAGGCCTAATATAAAGTAATGAGAATTGTTTTTTCCTAGTTTCATCTGGAAACCTGTCATTCCCTGTTACTAACATGTCACTTAGCCTGGTGAGTTTTCCTGTATTCTTCAAATACACCTCTACCTCGATATAACGCGGTCCTCAGGAGACAAATAATCTCACCGTGTTATAGGTGAGACTGCATTATATCAAACTTGCTTTGGCCCTCCGTTCCTTATTCCCTGACCGCCCCCTTCAGAGACCCCCGTCCCTAATCACCTCCAGGACCCCACCCCCTACCCAACTCCCCTGCTCCCTGTCCCCTGTCCATGCCCTCCACTCCCTGACAGGCACTCACCGGCAGCGGCGGGAAGCGGAGCAGCCCGGCCCCAGCCCGCTCCACTCCGCCACCTCCCAGCCGGGGCGCTCCGCTTCCCGCCGCCGGGGAGTGCGGGGAGGTTGGGGAAAGGACGCCCCCCGCACTCACCGGCGGCAGGAAGCGGAGCGATGCAGCCACAGCTCGCTCCACTCTGCCATCTCCGCTTCCTGCCGCCGGTGAGTGCGGGGAGGTTGGGGAAGTGGCAGAGTGGAGCAGGCTGGGGACGGGCTGCTCTGCTGCTGCCGGTGAGTGTGTGTGTGGGGGGGGATCCCATCCCCCAAGCCCCCTCCCCCGAGCAACACGGCTGGGGCCAGGGCGAGGGAAGTGGAGCGGGCTGCTCCTGGCCCCCCGCTAATCCCCAGGGCCACTCTGGGACTGCGGGGCCCCCAAAAGTGCCCCCCCACAGCTCCTGCCTCCCAGGCCCTGAGGGAGGGAGCCCCTGACCACCCCCGAGACCCTCTGCCCTTTATCCAACCCCTCGGCCCCGGCACCCTTAACATGCTGCTCAGAGCAGTGTGTCAGAGCTTTACCACTTTGTATGCGAAAATGTTATATCAGGGTAGAGGTGTATCGGACCTTATGTTTTATTGACAGGAAACATTCCCTTGGTTTGTTCTAGTACCATTTTTAAAAATAGTTTTTCATTCCTTTCTGAACATCACAACTTCTTCCTCTTTTTTGAAAGAATCTCTTTTTATAATACAAATTTCAGCGGAAATAATTCCCTCCCACATTTTTCCTGATCGTGACACGAAGATGGTGGCAGATAATGTGGCTCAGGAGATTAAATCTCCCAATTTGCTAGCATGAGTGGGAGAAACCCAAGAGAAAAAAATCAGATCTAGCAAGCTGAAATTAAGAGTGTGTGTCTTGCCTATGAGTAGCAACTATTAGTCACAAGTCCAGATATTATGAAGTATTTTGCATACCACTCTGTACCTTAACCTCCCTGAACACTCTTCTGCCTGTTTCAAAGAATAGTTTGAATCAAGAGTGGAAACTCTTAAAATATGCTGCTAAGAAGGAAAAAAACAACAACAGCATCAACAAAACTGTGCTACTAAAGGAATGGATGAGAAAGTGAGGTTTAAATAGAGTAGATATTAAATGGTGCTCCTGAGTCTATATCAGAAGTTCCACTCATCATGCTGGTGTGATCTGCCAAAAAAAGAATAGTATTTAAGAACCATAAATTATCAGATTTCAGTTTCAAACCTGAGGTAGCTGTCCACATTTTCACTACCTTTTTCAAAGGCGGTCTATGATTTTTGTATCTCACCTGGTTAGGATGCCTGCCTCTAGAAAAAAAAAGTTCGGCTAGAAGATATGCAACCCGATATAAACTCAAAGAATTAAATAACAAACAAACCTTGCATTAGTTTTTATGCATAATCCCTGAGTCTTTATATTCTATTCAGGATAGAGTATGGAACCTTATTATTCATGTGACTTTTGTTTTTTAGCTCAGTACTTGGTCCTGCTAGTGAAGGCAGGGGGCTGGACTCAATGACCTTTCAGGGTCCCTTCCAGTTCTATGAGACAGGTATATCTCCATTTTTTGGGGGGAGGGATAGCTCAATTGTTTGGCCTGCTAAACCCAGGGTTGTGAGTTCAATCCTTGAGGGGGCCATTTATGGATCTGGGGCAAAAATCTGTCTGGGGATTGGTCCTGCTTTGAGCAGGGGGTTGGACTAGATGACCTCCTGAGGTCCCGTCCAACCCTGATATTCTATGATTCTATGACCAGTAGCTCAGGAGCTGAAGAAGTCACAATAGCCCAGCTGCTGTGGAGATGAATTTGGGCTAGGTATTGTCCTATGGAAATAGGTTTTGCCTTCTTTGCATTAGTAACTGGAATATTTTAAAAGAAAATAAGCTCATGCTGTCCTCCTGAAGAAGAATCCAGTCTAGGCAGTAGGTAATACTGGCTCTCAAAGGTTGGAAAATTAACTTATTTCTTCTTTGTAGGTATGTGTCTGAGGCAGGCGGGGGGGAGGGAAGGGAAGGGACAGGGAGGAGACAGTGAATCTTCAATGGATCAGAGAGAGCAAGTGAAAGAGGGGGAGAACAATTACATCTATTTGTATTATTATTTTATTTTTAAAAAGTGCTATTTTAATGATGCAAGAGCTTGCAGTTTTAATTCAAAATTGTGTATAGTTGTAAATCTCAATGGCAAGCTTTACAACAAGCTTATGCTAAAATTGCAAAAGGTTTAGTTAAAATACCCCCAAACAAACCTGAAATCAGAAATCTGCTTCTCTCAGAGCTGTCCACAGAGTCCTAAATTATACCATATTCATTGGATGTGTGGCACATATGTCACAAATTCAGGCATATGTGTACATGTGGCTTAGGGAGAGGGACTGGGTAAAGTTGCCTCACCTGGCTGTAGAGGTATGTATTAGTTGGTCTTAGTTTATTATTCGGAGTACACATAATGTTTACATTAGTAAAGCACAACAGTACAGTATTAGAACCGATCCTGTTATTAGGTGCTGTGCTGACTACCCTGTGTTGTCCCACTGAAGAGTCTCCACTTCAGTCTTATTTACTAATGTTTTACGCTTGCTTTTACTGGTGTAAATATCAATACATGATGAAAAGCAGTGACTCATGCCTGCTCTGCCCTCAAGTAGTGCATAAGGCAGTTAAAATAATGTATACTTCTATCTAAGTGGCATGTTAAAATCTAATATGAAGAAAACTGAAGACAGCTGGCATGCTTCCTGGTTTGCCAACAGATTTTTGTATTTTTAGCTATAACTACAGATGCGTTCAGACTGTGGGCTTGATCTTATGTTAGTTAATTGAAGTCATTCGCAAAATTTCCATTGACTTTAATGGTCCAATCCTGCAAACACCGTAGTCATGATGGAAAGCCCTAGCGCCCAATAATTAAGGTTTGCAAGATCAGGTCTTTAGTTTGATTGCGTCTATAGCTAGAATGAGCAGCATTTTATAATGTACAGTACTTAATCAAATATGAGTCAAAAAGAAATGATGTAGAACATCTAACATGAAATATAAATAGTGGAAGGAAAAACAACCATTCTCTCCAACTGATATGAACCTTGCCAGTAAAACTCCTGGATTATGACCTTATACATGTAAATACGCTTTGATGATAAAAAAAATTCTGGTGGAAATCCCATCTTCACTACACATTTGTTATATTACTCATGAACTTAGTTTTAGACAAATTTGTTGTATATGTGATGGATCATGTATATTTGTTTTTCTTCCAAAACTCTGTCAGTTAAACGAAGAACACTTCCCTTTTTTCCAGAGAAGAAGCTACAAGTAAGTCAAGAAAATGGCTTTTGAAAGTCTGATTATTCCATTTTTAATGTTCCTCAGCAAAGCTACAACTGGTAAGCATAAATCAGTTTGACAGTAAGACATGGCATAATTTAGTGAATATTTGGTATACTGTAGCTGGGTGAATTTTTTTTGAATGAATAGTTTATTTGCTGAAAAATGCAGTTTTGGGTTGACTGACACTATTTGTGACTTTGGGTCAAAGTTGGCAGATAGTTTGGGGCAACACAATTTTTTTTTTAATTGAAAATGTCTAAATGTTTCATTTAAAAAATGTCAAAATGAAACATTGCAACTTTTTGTTTTGAAAAGACATTTCATTTAGAAATTTAGTTAAAGAAACAAAGGGTAACAAATACTTGAAAACAAAATGAAATGAAAAAAAAAGTGTTTGTTTCAGTCAAAGAAAACATTTTGTTCAACTCAAAGTGAAGTTTTGTTGGATTTTCATTTCAGCAAGAAAAACTGAAGAATTTTCATTTTGGGTTGATTGGTTTGGCCACTGAACTGAAAAAAATCGGTTATTTGCTCAGTTCTAGTGAGTAATGCATAATGCAATGACATTCTGCTCTTTCGCTTGTTGCAGTACTGGAATCTACAGTACATACCAGGAATTAAGTAGAACAATGGATAGTTATTCTAATTAAGTCAGTAATGGGTCTGAACCAAACCCTAGACCAAACACTTCCAATGTCTGATAAAGTTCAGATCCAGTTCCAGACTTTGCCATTTAGATAGACCCATCTTTAAATAGAAAAATTGTGAAAGGAGAGGAAGAAAGATTCTGCCACCCTTCCTCACTAAAAGTAGTACCTTACGTCCTGATCCAAAGTAGTTACTGTCAGCAGAACAATTCCAATTGACTGAATGGGCTTTGGATCCTGGCCTTGCTCTGTAATTAGCCCCACTGAAATCAAGTAAGTAAGGTACTATCCCACCTGAATAAGGATTGCAGAATTGGGCTGTGACAGAGAACTGGGAACCAACAGCTGAGTCAGCACTCTGATCACTTGAACACCAATTAAATCCATCACCCCCAGGCTGGACCTGACTGTGCCTAATTAGTGGATTAGAATGGGCTGAGGAGGACTAAAAAGGTAATTAACCCGTTAACACAGAGGGTGGAAGAAGGAAAATGCTGTGGAGGGGCAAGTTAGTGGGACCAGAACCAAAAAGGGTCTATGGATGGAGAGATTTCTTCTCTCTACCCGAGGAGAAATTGATGCTGTGAATGATGTAGTCAGTAAAGGGGGGAGAGCAATGTAAAAAATTATAGGGTGGTGGTTAACAATAGAAAGTCTCTGAATGACCTGTGGAGAAAGAGTAGAAGACAGGAGCAGGACCATGCTCTATCACGGAGGCCCTTACAGATGTTTCCTGAAGTCCATGGGAAAAACTGCCACTTTCCTCTAGGCATGAGAAGTTTTGCCTGAGTAAGGGCAGAATAAGGGCTTGAAAACTGGGTCCTCAGGTTGGGATAAATATTGATTTCCTGATATGGCCACACTCTTCAGCAGCTATTAGGTCTGCTGAAAGAAAATCTGTTTAGAAAGAAACTGGATAGACAGCAAGTGCCATTAGAATCAGTCCAGTCTCATTATCTGAAAACAGTGTTTTGCTTCCTAACCATTCTTTTTTCTGCGAAGAAGAGCTGTGCCCCTTGCGTCGCTCCATTGATGTACTTGAAGGGGAATATTTTTTCCTTTGCTTCCCTGGATCAATACGAGATAATCTTCGCAGTAAAACATACACAGTGACCTGGTTCAAAGAAAATGAAGGAAAGATTAATTTGATCCAAGAAACACACAGACTTGTTTTAAATGGGAGATTTCTGGAGTTTTGGCCAGCTGAACTCAGTGACCTGGGGAATTACACATACATACTCAGGTGGGTACACATGCCCAGTGGATTATGTAGAGTCTTTGCAACTGTATAAAAATAGGACCTGATCCTCTACTATCAGAACCTTGTGTTGTTATTAGGACTTATGCAAAGGGGTACAAAAAGCTAAATTTACCCAAGTAGTATCATGTTACATTCATGTGCACAACTCTAAATAACTACACAGAGTGCAAGGCAGTGAAGAATTGAGCTCATAAAGTTTACAATTAATTGTAGGTAGACAGAATCTCTAAACATTTAAGCAAACCTTTTGTTAAAGAAGACTGGTGGTTTTTTTTGTTCCTCCTAGACATGACATATTATCTATGCTTAAAAACTGATTAATAACATATTTCTTTCAAATCATATGGAGAGGTTTACTTGTGTTGAGTAAGTAACTGACTGTGTGTGAGTGTTCCCGTTGAAATCAATGGGACTAATTGTATGTTAAAGTAATACACAAGATGAGTAAGAATGGCATAATTAGGCTCTGGCTTTTATACAGAACTTTACATCATTGGAAGTATTAAAAGCACAAATGGAATGGTTATATTTGATTTCTAGCTGAGTATGCTCTTTCACCTCAGAATAGCTTTTACAAAGCAGTGACTCAAATGGAGCTGTAAGACTAGTGCACTCTGAGTTGTGATATTGTTCAGGAGGGCAGGAAGAAAGTGTGGTTTAACAATGGTTAAATCAAGTTTTGAAAAGGTGAAGATGTTTCTATTATAACTGACTTATACTGAAACTGCAGTACGTTTCAAGACAAAGGCTAAAAGAATAATTCCTTTCTCATAGTGTATTATGTAAGCAACGGTTTGTGCTTTTATTACCGGAAAATTTTAAAGGTCCTTTCCTGTTTATAAAATACAGGGTAGGTGTGACTGCAGTTATATAGCGCTGAAAAATACAAAACTCAGTTCTCCAGTAATAAAAAGAGCTAGAATTTCATGGACTACAACTTTTTATTAGACTTAATTTATCAATAGCCTCCATTATTTTTTGAAATGTCCAAAAATTGTAATTAGTTTAGAATATGATTTTATTTTATTTTAAAATTTAATTTATTTAAATATTAACTTAAAAATTATAGGAATGATTTTCAGAATTTTTGATATCAAAATGGTTATCAATTAAAATGTTGATTAAAAGTATTGAAAGTTCATTATAGAAAAAAGTCATTTTTGGTTCAAAATTTGCAACTGGCTTTATTGGACAGTGTACTAAAAGAAATAGGTGAAATTGATTGAATTGTTTGTTCATGTTATGTTCTTTACTCAGCTCTTTTGACTTGGAAGAAAAATAGAGGTTCCTTAGGTAAAGCAGCAATGCACCAGTGAAACATTTTCACAACAAATCACAGTGTTCTGATGGGAAAACCAAACAAACAATAAAAACAAAATCAAACAAACCAAGCCCCTCCCCCCCCCAAATAAATGAAATGAGTGCAGATTTGTTTATTGAGTCAATTTAACAGTTTAGCACAGAGTTGACCACAGTTAGCCCCATTTCTTGTCATGAAGGTTCCTGCTACATTTGACACGTGGAGTTGGCTGACAATCTTTGCCACACATCTGTGTTGTTTGTATGGTTTTGTGCAGCACATATCTTAAATTCCTGTGGTTACTGGAAATCAGGTCAAATAAGCTCTTCCATAGTAGTGACCTTGTAACTAGGTAAATTGTAAGTAACTGAAAAAAAAATTAGAGGTGGAAGTCAGTGACAAGCAAATGACTCTTTAAGGCTCTGATCCTGCAAAGACTTGTGCATGTATTTAGCTTTATGCATGTATGGCCCTGTTGAATTCAATGTGACCAGGGCCAGCTCCAGGCACCAGCCCTCCAAGCATGCGCTTGGGGTGGCACCTGGAGGGGGGCGGCGCTCATCCGGGGAGAGCGGGGCCGCGGCCGGGCTCGCCGCCCTCCTCCCGGCGCTCTGGCGAGAGCGGGGCCCCGGCCAGGCTCGCCGCCCTCCCCCTGGCGCTCCGGCCGCCAGGGAGAGAGGAGCCGCGGCGGGCTCGCCGCCCTCCCCCGGCGCTCTGGCTGGTCGGGGAGAGCGGGGCTGTGGCCGGGCTCGGCGCCCTGCCCTGCCGCGCTCCCCGCCGGGGGGGCGGAGGACAGCGGGAGGCTTTTTTGCCTGGGGCGGCAAAAAAGCCAGAACCGGCCCTGAATGGGACTATACCCATGCTTGAAGCTGAACACATGCTCACATGCTTTGGGAACAGAACACTCAGCACTCAACTGTAAAGTTGTAATGTGGTAATACTACATCAAAATCTGACCTTGATAGTGAAATGGCCGAGGGGTGATTTGTAATCTAATATGTATTCAGTATTTTTTTTTGTAAAATCTTAATTGCTACTTTATGAATTTTCACTCTCCAATGGGCTTTGCTGAGCCAGGCTACATGTTTTGAGTTTTAGCCAAATAGTGATTTTTTGTAATACCATATTCCCCACAAAGTACAACCAAAGAACTAAAGTGAAAGCCAAGACAGAAAGATAAAACCTCATAGAGTGTAAGAGACAAGGATGTCTCTTAATGCATGTTGACTAAAATCTTATGTGGCAGACTGGATTGGAGATGCTCCAAGCCAAATTCATACCTAGTGTAAGGCTCATCTTCTGTAGAGTTACACCTGTTTACACCAGGTCTGAATTTGGCCCAACATATTCAGTGTTTTCTACAACTAACTAGGATTAAAAGAAATGTGGGTTCAGTTCCTCATTCTACCATAGGCTTCCCATGTGATTTTGGGTAAGTCAGTTGTTTGTCCATCTCTATTCCCCATCTGCAAATTCTAGATGATAATACTTGCCTACCTCACAGGGGTGTTGTAAGGATACATCTATTATTAATTCTCAGGTGGTGCTCAGACAAAGGTCACGTTGAACATATAAATATATAGGTTAACTGTTCCTGCTTTCTTAGTTTTCCCTCTTGTGATACACTACTAATTTTTAGACTGTGCCAAGCCAGTTTTTTTGGATTGGTTTACTCTGACCCCACATACATTTATTAATCAGAACATGAGGTCAATGTTTAATCCACTACCTTCTTCTGAAATGACTGTTATATATATCGTATATTTGAAAACAGTACCAGTGGGTATTTCCTCTAACAGAACTATCTCCAACTCAGTCCAGACAAGATAAAACAAAAGTAGCTTATTATTTATTTTAGGATTCAACAGACAAATTATATATAAAATAAAGGATGTTTAACATTAACAGAGTTGTTGAGGGTCATATAGAAGGCTGATAAAACTACAAAACCTATTTGGTACACTAGAATTGGGAAAACGTTAACGTATTGGGGAACATTTAATTGAGTAAAAACTGAATTTGCTTTGATGGTTTTCATGACTCTTTTTATTGCAAATATTTTTATTTGTGATTTTTTTTTGTTAGCAAGTATGTTAACATAAAACAAAAGTCTGTGAGTACTCTTGCAAATCAAGCTACTTGTTTAGATGCCTTAATGTGTAATTGAGAGCTGTACTTTTTTTGAAATGTTGATTATTGGCTTTCAGTAACATTCATTTTTCTCCAATACTTTAATTCCCGCAAGACTCCTCCAGTTCCCATTGGCTCACACTTACGTACATGGGAATATTCAACAATGAAAGTATTTACATATCGTATCAAAGTAATTAACTCTGCCTTTTGGGTAATATGTAACTATGAAACAAAGTGCCTTTGCTCAGTAGTAATTTGTGCTTCTCCATGAAACCCTCAGGATTTGTGAACATTTTCACAAATACTTTGGCGGTTGTCTGTATGGCAGCAAACAATGAATAATGTGACCACATGAACAACAACAGAGTGAGCTTGCCAAGCTTATTTGTTCATAAATATTCACAAATCACTTTTTAAATTATCTCTACATCAAACCTTAGTGAATTAGATGAATAAGTCTCTAAACCCACTAACTGGTCATTTTAAACTACTTGGGCATCATTATGCTAATTTGTATGTATACTTGCCACCATATATTGTTATATTATTATAAATAATTATGAAACTGAATGGTTTCATGATTCTGTTTTGATATGCTTGTCTATTACTTAAGCTGGGGCTTTACTAAATATAACACCTAGTTTATGTGGGGAAGTAAAGAAAAGGAAGTAAAAGAAAATGGGATAATATAGGTATGCTTTTTTTTCTAATGATTATATTTTAGGTATATATTTTGTTGTTGTTGTATAATTACCCTACCTACATGACTTTAAAGAACACCCAAAACTGTTTATTTTATTCCATAGCAATGGAACGTACAATGTCACATCACAAAAGTGGTCCCTGAATGTGCTCAAAAGAAGTAAAGACAGTTGTTTTAACACAAATCATTTATCCAGGCAAGTTAAAGCTGCTGGAAGAAGTTATACATTGAAATGTAATGCTGTGCCCCACAATAAAAATGTCACCATAACGTGGTACAAGGTAAGTACCAAAAACATCACCACCCAACTTAGTAGTGTAAAAAAAAAAGAAATGTTAGACCTTAGGAAAGGTAGATTACAAACTTACAGACATCTAAAAATATCTCTACAGTCTTGTAAAAATCTTTAGTAATTCTGGTAAGTGACACAGTTCTTAATACAGACACACAAAGAAAACCCATTTGTCTACTTGCACAGATTTGCAAGATAAAGTATACTAGCAATCAGGAATTGCTTGTGATCTCAGGGCTTGGGAATGGTAAAAGATTTGATGCTTGAACCTACCTGATAAATTACCCAGCCTCAACTCTCTTTAGTGCATATGGGATCCTGACACTAAAAGGAGTGCAAAGGGACTTACTGAGTATTGGGATTTGCTTATACAGTAGTTGGCAGCTTGGAAGTTTTGGTGTTTCAGATCATTTATAGCATTAAGAGATGTAAAATAAATTCCATTGTTTAAAGTGAACCTCTTTTGTACTACAAATACACCATATCAGGGGACCTGGTTACAACACAGTTGCAGTTGTAGTGAACTGTGTTCCATAACTGAGCTAAAGCCTTGGACACATTCCTTTAGTTTTCCTATCTCTTCATCATGTTGGGTAGCCCTCTCCATTCCTCCATGGATTTATATGGATGCTGTTTGTCCGCTCCCAACTGTTGGGATTAGAGATGTCTCATGCTCATTTTGGAACATAGGAGCTGCCATATTAGATCAGTTCAGTGGTCGGTCTGTCCTGTCTCTTGCCAGTGGTCAATATCATTTGTTTCAAAGGAAAGTGCAAGAAATCCTGGAGTAGTCAGTTATTAATAAATCTGCTCCAGGGAAAGTTTCCTCCTGGCCAGCAATGGCTAGAGGTTGGTGTGTGCCCTGAAGCATGAGGGTTTATATCTCTTTCCAAACTCTTATTTGCTTTTTAATTTTTACTTTATAACTCTGGAAATATTTATTACACATATAAATGTCCCATCCTTCTTTGAACCCAGCTAAGCTCTTGGCCTTAGTGGTAACTTGTGACAATGAGTCCAAAGGGCTAAGTGTACATTGTGTGAAAAAGTATTTTCTTTTATCCGTTTTATGTACGGCCTTCAGCATTCATTGAATGTCCCTTTCTTGTTGTATAATGAGAAAGGGTGAATAGCAGTGCCTTATCTACCTGCTTTATACCATTCATTTGTAAAGCACTGGTCTAATTTGGGAACAGTGTTCTACCAAACAGAATTTTTTGTGAAATTCTTCACCACAATTTAAATCTTTTTTTTTATTCAAAATCATTATTGAAATGGTTAAATTTTTAGTAAAAAAAAAAAAACCAAAAGGGGTTGTTTTGAACCCTAGAAACAATTTTGAAATGTTAATTCCCCTCACCTCCCCCCCCCATTTTTTGACGAGTTCTATTTCCATGTGTACGTAAATCATTAATCTTTGAACAAATTTCAACTGAGGCAAGGCTGAGATACACACATGGCACACCAGAGAACAACTTCTTTGAGTAATAGGTTGGCTAAGCTTGCAGAGCCTAGCCAAATTTTTGAAAAATGGATACTTAAAATTCCATTCCTAACTTTATTTTTAGACACCTTGAGTAAATGGCCTGATTTTCAGAAGTACTGAGCAACCATGGGGGGAAGGAGAGAAGGGGGATTTGAAAATGAGATAATAATTTTTTAAAATCTTGACCCCAGTTTTCAACATGGGACTCTGTCTGGTGCCCAAATCATGTGATTGGGTACTCAGTTGGGTACTTAATCTACATGATTATTTTAGATTACTCTGATTTCTTATTTTGTGTGCTATATTGTCATTTGGATGTCCCAATGCTGTATTTGGGTGCCCATGTTTGTAAATTGGACCTTAGCCTCTCTCAGCATTTTCCCCCAAAAGGTTTAATTTTAAAATATTTAATTTTTTACTTGAAGCTTCAGAATGTATCCGTAGCATGAAAATTATTTAAATTTTCTTTATTGAAACAGAACTGTAACATCTATAACTCTACAAAGGAGGAGGAACTGCATTTTCCTAGTTTAACAATTGAAGACTCTGGGAATTACACATGTGATGTTTCAATTAGTCATGCTGGAAAGGCATTCAACGCCACAAGTACAATAGAGCTGATGGTGAAAGATGGTAAGATTGTTTTCTTAGGAGTCTGAAGACCATATAATTACATGTTTAATGGAGGCTTCCTGTGCAAAGTCCATTTTCTCAGGCTTTGTGAAGAGGAAAGGATGTAGGTCATTATCTCTAACTGTAGATATCATTAGGTCATGTAGTTAATTGCATATTGTGATCAGTTAAAATCGGACAATGTTGTTCAGTCTAATTGTTGAACAGGCACCATTTACCAGTATAAGCATGCTGAATATTTTAGAATTCAACAGAAAAAAAAAATGAAGATGGTCTATGGAATAGAGAGAAGCTCTTTGAAATGAAGTAAAATCCTCTGAAATATGCATCATCTCAGAAAAGAGTGAACTTGAAAAATGTTCCAGTCTATTGTAGTTCTTGTACTGTACATAGCACTATACCTCTCTTCCCCCAGGGAAAGCAAAACTCTTCGACTTTGCACTTTGACTTATTTTATAAGTAAGCTTCTTAATTTAAAAAGCAAAAAGAGACAAGCAAAAAAAAAAAAATCTATTGGTTTTATTTAGTCTTATGTGAATGTTCTGATTTCTTCCCCCACTTCCACCTCTTCAGTTCTATTAAATTTAGCCACAGTAATTAATGCAACTATTTCAGAAGCGGTCTTGGAGATGAATCTTTGAGGACCTCATAAACTGAACACTTTGAGTTCATGAAAAAAATTCAACAGGACATACCATTTTGCTGTTTTAAACTACTTGGTAATGCCAGAGCATCAGCCTCCTGTTATTGTCATGCTGTTGTTAGTCAGATGAAATTATACTGCTGATTCATCAGTGTTCATAAATATATTGGTAATAGGCTGAAATCTATATGATATGCTTAAGCAAGGGTTTTTGAAATAAAGCCAAGGTATCATTTTACAGAGGTGGGATGTTAGAAAAATAGCATTTTAAAATATTGCATTTTTCCCCCTTAGATGCAGCTGAAGTTGTTAAATTGGAGATAATTGAACCTGGAGAAATTTATGTTGAAACACAAATAGGTATCTAATTATATGAGTAATCTTTGTGAATGTATATTGTTTTGTTCTGATCTCTATATGGTGTATGTTCTGGTTGAGTTTAGTGAAACTCAGAACTGTCTGCAAGTTTTCTTTGCTCAGATCTATATCTCCTTATTGGGCCAAGTGTTGATATGTGGCTCCCCTATTTCAGATGAGCCATCATTGGTAGTAACGTGCATAAACATTCACTGAGTTCAGCTACCTTGTTCAAGAGATGCTCACTATGGCCAGCAAAAGGAAGTTCTAGTTGTGTTTCCTGGTTCTGTAGATCTCAAAGCCCCATGGGATGGCTGACACAAGAAGGATAGGTTGTCAAGTGGATAGTAAGACAGAGCAATCCCTTTAACATGTGGTTCAGTGTGTTTTAGGGTGTCTTGCTGTACAGAGACATGGGAAGTAGGAAGGTTGGCAAACCTGTCAACACAGACAGGCAGATCTTTCTGAACTGCAAAAGAACTACTGTTGTACACATTTGTGCCAAGAGCACTAGTAAAGCCAAAATCTTGTATGCCCCAGTGGGTAGGAGCTGTGCATTAACTAACTTGTGTGTGGACACATATTTTGTGTGGCGTAAACCAGGTTAGTTTATTTAAAAACATGTTAAAGCTACACTGTAGGTGAGCAGTGGATATACTTTTCAGTCCCTGCAAACTGTGATTCAGTATTTAATGTGTGTAGCTGAGTTAGACAGATTTTAATATGGATCCTATAATGAGGATTCTAAGAACAATTCCATTTGAACCGTGTGCTGTGACAATGGTGCTCAATCTAGGTCAACTTCCTATAGCCATTTATTTAAAATGTGCTGCACAAACCTTACAGACTGACAGCAACCTCATAAAATGTGCAGAGAGATTTTAAATGAAGCTACTTTGTGGCTTATGAGGACAGAGTACCTTGGAAGTGTGGATGAGTATTGACACGATTGCATTCTTGGAATGATGTTTTAAATTAAAAAATAGCTGCAGATCAGGCTTCATGTGACAAATTCCTTAGAAAATTGGGTTTCTAGTAATACCTGAATCTCAGTGGGTTAGAAAATGATCTCACTGAATTCTTTGAGAACAGCATACCCTGTCCTGTTCTATATGGTGTCCTTGATCATCTACAGATGTGTGTGTGTGTTTTTTGGGGGGGGGGGATATTCTGAGTTGTCTTGGTATAAGAACTGGCTCAGGGACACAATTAACTTTTAGCACAACTGGTCCTTTGATTGCAGTTTAGTCCGGACTCAATTTAGCCTCATGTACATTGATACAGAACTTGGTTCATTCTTATTGGCTGCGAAGCTTGGAGGAGGTCAGCAACACATACTTCCTGCTCCTGGAGTCTGAGGCCTGGATCCAGAAAAGGACTAAAGTGTGCAACGCTGAGCATCACAATGCCTAACTTTTAAGTGCCTAGAAAATTACAGGAACACCACTGCAATCCACAAAGCCTGAGTTAGGTTCCTAGGCTCCCTATGCAATGACTGGGGAGATATAGGCAGCTTACAATGTGATTCACAAAAGCCAGCACACTAGGTGGGTACCCACCTAAACTATCCAATAGGAGATGCTGATGAGAGGGTGTGTTCTAGGGCAGGGAGGCACCTGTCTCTGCTTAATGATCCATGAATGGGAACTCACCACCTGGAGTCAGACAGCTTAGGTACCTAAGGCATTTACTGAAGTAGGTACCTGCCTTCACACCAGATGGCTGAAGGAGTGGTGGTGCCCACCTTATACCTTTTAGCTCAGTGGTTAGAGCACTTGCCTGGGATGTGTGAGCCCCAGGTTCAAATCCCCCATCTCTGCCAGAGGGGAAGAAAAGATTTGAACAGGAGATCTCCCACCTCTCAGGCAAGTGCTCTAACCATTGGGATATTCTTGTCTGGGTTCTCTGTCTCTCCTATTGAAGCTCTTCAACTGTGTTTAAATGATGATCTCTTTCTCTCTCTGGCCCATTGTCTGTTTAAGTATTTACCCACAATGGAACTGCCACTGGGCGAGAACGAGAAAGAAAGTGAGCAGAACTCTGTAGCCTGGTGGTTAAGGCACCCGTGTGGGAGACCCAGGTTCCAGTCCCCCTGCTCCGGTTGTTCCTTCATTGTTTATCCATAGTGCAACAGGAGAGACTGAGAGAGCCCCACATCAGCCTGTCTCACAGCTTGGTGGTTAGAGCACACTTCTATGTGATGGGAGAACCGTTTTCAAATCCATTCTCCCCTTCTGGCAGAAGGGGGAATTGAATTCTGGTCTCCCATGTCCTAGGTGAGTGTGCTAATCACTGGGCTAAAAGTTACAAGAACCACAGCCTCCTCTGTCCAGATTTTGAATGGGGCCCAGTTTTGTAGGTGGCCACTGAGCAAGCCTACTGGGTCCGGCCCCACACACGACTTGGGTGGATGGATCTGTCTTTCTCAAGTTTGTGAATTGCTCTGGGGCTTAGGTGGGAGATAGGTGTCCGGATGCCTAGAGAGATGCAGTATGCTCAAAGGCAGAAACTTAGGCACCATGGGAACTTTTACCCTGACATAGGCGCCAAGTGAGTTTAGGCACCTACAAGGTTCGGCAGGAGTTTTGAGGATCACAGTGTTGCCAAAACTGGAACTTAGGCACCTAAACCCCAAGCCTCTATGGATCTGGGCCTGAGCCACCAAACAATGCCCTCGGAGTTCTAAAATCAGGCAGCTATTTGACCTCTAGGTTTACATTGCATACAGTCAAGGCCTGCTCCAAAAAAAATAAAAAGCCACGATCGCGATCTGCGGCCACGATCGCGATCTGCGGCGGCAATTCAGCGGGGGGTCCTTCGCTCCGAGCAGGAGTGAGGGACCGTCTGCTGAATTGCCACCAAACAGCTGGACTTGCCGCCCCTCTCCAAAGTGACCGCCCCAAGCACCTGCTTGGTAAGCTGGTGCCTGGAGCCAGCCCTGCATACAGTGCATAGCAATAATAAAACCAAGAATGTTTCTCTGAAAATGAAATGCCTGTGCTATTAAATTAACCTTACAGTATTGAGAGTCTCTAAGCTGATTACTTTCACTACACATGGGCAAATGTAGTTGCAAAATGTCAGCACCTGGAGCTGACACAGCTACAACGCTTCATCATTGCACAGAAAATAACTTGTGATGTAGGGATATAAAAATGGGGGAATATTTCTTCTAGTATGGAATAATTGTGTGGCAATGTGAGAGAAGGCTTTTGTAATCTGGTGGGCCACCTACCCATCACACACCTGGCTTGAATATATATTGTTAGTTACAGAACAGGGGCATATAAGGTGTTAAGAAGGAAATGGCTCATCACCCCTCAACTATAGGACATCTGAATGTCTATCAATTGAAAATTAGCATCAACTGAAGCCATCCAAATTCATTGCTAATATCCCAACTGTTAAATGGCTCAAAATGTTTTAAAGAGGACAGTTCAGTCAATTTTCAGTGCACTTGTGTGGATACTGTAACACACAGAAAGGTTGGCTCTATTTTTCGATATGCTGGGAGCCACACTGAAGGTTGTCCTATGACATCTAGATTGCATCTCTGGCAATCAGACTCCCCATTGCATTGTGAAAGCATACACTATTCATATGAACGGATGTTGATTTTTATATTGTTTTGCCTAGGTAAAGAGGTGATACTCAACTGCACAGTTTTCTTGGGTTACTCAAATGCTGCCAAGCCAACATACCTCCTGCACTGGATAGACAATAGTTTAAATTCATGTTCAGAGAACACTAAGAAGGAACAATCAATATGTGAAAAGGAATATAATTTGTAAGTATGTTTACTGCAAAATATTTTTCTTCAGTGTTTGTGCAATATAACATACTGCATTTTGTGGACTGCTAGTTAAGTATAACATCTGAGTTTCCTTCAGTCCTGTCTCTTACAATCTACGTATCAGCTGGCCATAGGTTTCCATGAAGGATGTCTGTGATCATGACTTTTAATGTAGCTTAACATTTTTTTTACAAATGTCTACCATGTTTTCACTGTAATTACATGTGCAATGCCCTAGGCATAGCCCAATCCTCCACTTTGTCTAGGTCACTCTGGATTCTGTCCCTATCCTCCAGCGTATCTACCTCTCCCCCCGCAGCTTAGTGTCCTTCATGAACTTGCTGAGGGTGCAATCGATGAAGATGTTGAACAAAACGGGCCCCAGGACTGACCCCTGGGGCACTGCACTTGATACCAGCTGCCAATTAGACATCGAGCCGTTGATCACTACCCGCTGAGCCCAACGATCTAGCCAGCTTTCCACCTTATAGTCCATTCATCCAATCCATACTTTTTTAACTTGCTGGCAAGAATACTGTGGGGACTGTATCAAAACCTTTGCTAAAGTCAAGATATATCACGTCCACGGCTTTCCCCATATCCACCGAGCCAGTTATCTTATCATAGAAGGCAGTCAGATTGGTCAGGCATGACTTGCCCTTGGTGAATCCATGTTGAATGTTCCTGATCACCTTCCTCTCCTCCAAGTGCTTCAAAATGGATTCCTTGAGGACCTACTCCGTGATTTTTCCGGGAACTGAGTTGAGGCTGTAGTTCCCCGGATTCTCCTTCTTCCCTTTTTCCAATCGTCCGGGACCTCCCCCGCTCGCCATGAGTTTTCAAAGATAATGGCCAATGGCTCTGCGATCACATCAGCCAATTCCCTCAACACCCTCGGATGCACTGCATCCAGCCCCATGGACTTGTGCACATCTTGTGCACAGTTTTTCTAAATAGTCCTTAACCTGTTCTTTCACCATTGAGGGCTGCTCACCTCCTCCCCATATTGTGCTGCCCAGTGCATCAGTCTGGGAGCTCGCCTTATCTGTGAAGACCAAGGCAAAAAAAGCATTGAGTACTTTTTCCACATCATCTGTCACTAGGTTGCTTCCCCCATTCAGTAAGGGTCCCACACTTTCCCTGACCACCTTCTTGTTGCTAACATACCTGTAGAAATCCTTCTTATTACCCTTAACATCCCTTGCTAGCTGCAACTCCAATTGTGCTTTGGCCTTCCTGATTACACCCCTGCACACTCGAACAATATTTTTATACTCCTCTCTAGTCATCTGTCCAAGTTTCCACTTCTTGTAAGCTTCCTTTGTGTGTTTAACCTCACCGAAGATTTTTCTGTTAAGCCAGATTTTTCTGGTCTCCTGCCATATTTGCAATTCTTTCTGCACACTGGGATGGTTTGTTCCTGTGCCCTCAATAAGGCTTCTTTAAAATACAGCCTGCTCTCTTGGACAACTTTCCTCCTCATATTAGCCTTCCAGGGGATTCCGCCCATCAGTTCCCTGAGGGAGTCAGTCTGCTTTTTCTGAAGCCCGGGGTCTGTATTCTGCTGCTCTCCTTTCATCCTTTTGTCAGGATCCTGAACTCAACCATCTCATGGTCACTGCTGTCCAGGTTGCCACACACTTCTACTTCCCAGACCAATTCTTCCCTGTTTGTGAGCAGCAGGGAGGGGGTGGTTAGGGGACAAAGAGCGGGGGTGTTGGATAGGTTGAGGGTTCTGAGGGGGGCAGTCAGGGGGCGGGAAGTGGGAGGGGGATCCAGGCTGTTTGGGGAGGCACAGCCTTCCCTACCCGGCCCTCCATACAGTTTTGTAACCCCAATGTGGCCCTCGTGCCAAAAAGTTTGCTCACTCCTGCCTTAGACTCTCCAGTCTAGCTTGTCATCCAGGCAAACTAGACTTACTGATAAATGGTCACTTACACCAAAGATCACAAAATATTCAGGTTGCTTCCAATCCCAAGAGACCAGTCACTTACCCCAGATCAATTGGTACCCTAGAGCTTACACCAAAGACAACACCTGTAGCCAATTCTGTAATAAACTAACTAAAAGTTTATTAACTAGGAAAAAGAAATAGTTATTTACAGGTAAAAGCAAGCCAACATACACACACAAATGAGTTGCAATTTAAATTCTAAGAGTGACAGAGTTCTAGAGATCTGTCAATTCAAAATGTCTTCCAGGCAGACCTAGGGGTAGCCTCTGGGGATCTCTGGCTTCAGTTTAGTGTCTCTGGCCGTGTGAGAGTTCAAACAGCGAAGAGATGAAATATTTTCCTGTGTCTTTGTTTTATTTCCTTCATTCAGCCTCCACGTCCATAGGATGAGCTTCCTTGCACAAAGCATTTCCAAGGTGCCATCAGGCCATTAACCAATCCTTTGTATTGTGACATTCCTTGATGACTTATCTGATTTTAGTAGTTCTGGATGGACAGGAAGAAACACTCCTTCCCATCTGAGTTCACAAGTTTAGAGCAAACATTTTCCAAGTGATACAGCAAAACTTACATATTTCCTTATAGCATGAAATTCAGACATTACATTAATACATGCAGCAACTTACAAACATTCTATAGACTCTAAACACTAAAAACATTCTTATAAGACTAATACCTATTTTGAGCAACACTAATACATAAGTGAACTGGTCTGGTCTCCAGCTATGAGTTTGTCAGCTCTTCGCTAATGCCTGCTACCTTGGCAAGAGCTGGCACTTGGCCTGCCAGCATCACACCATCTAATAACTTTTTGCTTCGATCAGCTCTGATAGCCTCCATTCCCTGTTCCTTTCTAGATTGGTCTGCAGTATCTAGTGAGGAAGTTAACTTTTTAATTGATCCATAATGCTGTAATAAAGCACCAGGCAAGGATTTTATCCCTGTAGAAGAATTTAAGGAAAACGTTGACTAGTGGGCACCTGTTTTGGCTAAACTTTTCTCTAATATAAATAATACAAGGATTTTCTCCTCAGGTTGGGCTATCAACATTATTATTCCACTTTATAAAAAAGGAGGATAGAAAGGACTCTGGGAATTGCCACCTAGTTAATTTATTGGACTTACACTAGATATCTTTTCATGAGACTAGAGAACTTGGCAGGAAAAAGTAATTTGTTTGCTGAGGAACAAGCTGATTTCCAAAAGAGCCGCTTCACTACAGATGATTGTTTTTTCTTATTTGATTCACAAATATGTGCCTCCTTCAGGGGAGGAAATCGTATGCAGCTTTTGTTGGTCTAAAATTGACCTTTATATTGTATTGATGGGGATTGTCTTTATGGCAAATTGGAGATTGCTGGAATAGATCCTTGGTTACTTTTTCTTTTAAGAGCTCTTCGCAGACACAGTGACTAAGATTGGGATAGGCCTGTGGATAATTAATTAATTCTTTTCCAGTTACGAAGGGGGTTCAACAGGGCTGTCTTTTAGCCCCTTTTCTTTGTAATTTTTATATTGATGATTTTGTTCTAGCATTAAAAGGGGCTCAGTATTTTCCCCCATAAAATCATGAATCACACTGTGACTATCTTTTTATATGCAAATATGGCTTTACTGTCACGGACACCTTTGTGACTGAAGTGTTTTTTAAATGTTTGGTTTATACTTGCAATGGGAAGGTCTCTTAATATATTATGCCAAAGCTAAAGTAATTGTCTTTAGTCAGAGACGGAGGTTGTGTAAATGGAAGTTTGATGGCATTATATTGAACAAGTTAACTCTTTCGGCTATCTGGGTATCTGGTTCTCACAAAATGGCTTGTGGGATAAGCATATTCAGGTAACAAAAGAGAAGGTCTCAGATTCAGTGTTAACGTTTTTATCCGGACTCCGGGGGTCAATTTAAGTGCACTAGTCCTTAAAGTGTTTGAGGCTAAAGTATAAGCTCAAATTTTCTATGGCACAGAAATGTGGGAGTAGAATGAGCCCCCGGGACTGGAAGTGATTCCATACAAATTTCTTAGGAAGATTTTTGGTCTGCCAAATAATACTGCAATCATCCTCCTTAGAGTTGAGACAAGTATGAACTCTAGGCTGTCCAAAGTCCTAAATTGTAGTATTATTTTTTGGATTTGAATAGGATCACCCACAGCGTTTGCCAAGATTATGCTTAGAGGAACAGCTCATCAGGACTCTCACACATAAATTTCCTTGGTTAGAGCATTTTCAAAATTCTTTGCATTCTCTAGGTTTCACAGAATGGAAATGATTAGATTTAAGTTTAAAAAGGTGAAATCCCTGATCAAATCGGGAATAGAGGATATTAATAAGCAATTGGATATGGCAGTTGTCTCTATTTCAGATGTCACTGTGATTTCCCCTTGTTAAAAAAAGACTTATGGGTATGCCAGATATCTAGACAGTCTGTGTAATAACACACTGCCTTCACAGGTCTCCATTACCTATTCATGCAGACAGCTTATTTAGAAGGCTGGTATGCTGGCATTGAGAAATGTAACCGCCTTTGTCCATGCAGTTTAGGGCAGGTGGAAGATCTAGCCCATCATTTATTACACGGTAATTTGAATTGCCACTTGAGGTCAAAAAGCTTTCTGTATTTTTGTCCTGGATGCCTTGTTCTATGACCTCTCAAAAAAATAGAATATTTGTTAGGAACTGATAGTGTGTCTGTGATTCAAGCGGTTGCTCTATTTGCATAGTTAGCCACTAAAATAAGGCAAAAGTGAGTGGCATGGTGATCATATAGTCATTAATGATGTATGTCCTTTTTTTAATCTGCATTTATGAGTATTGTAATATATTATAATTTTGGATTTAGTTTTAAGTTTTGTTGTACTACTTTTTTTTCTGCATTGGCCCAAGGCCAAGGTGCTATTAATAAACTACTATGGGTTTTAATTTCTAATAAATCTTGGATTTGCTCATGCATAGGGGCCTGCGGAGAACAGGACCATGCTGAGTCTCCTCCACATCTCACTGATAGAGTATATTGTCCTCACTGAAAAGATTAATTTAAGTTTGACAATGAGAAGGAAAAAGGAAGCAATGTAGTTATATATGTCTAATGTATGAGTTGGCTTATTCATTAACTGTTGGTTTGTTTTTTAGTACAGAACAGCTAGTTTATTCTGATCTGCAGTCATAAAGAATCATAAAAACGTAGTTTCTTATTGTAATGATCTGTTAAACATCAGGTTTTGTACCTTAACTGTGAAGGTGAAGAAGAAGACTATCTTGAAAGGGTTATTTAAAAGTTTTGTTAGCCTATTTTTAGACTTATAAAATCCATACTGGGTGTGAATACTAAGTAGGCCCTTTAAGACCACATTACATATATTTGTGCTTTCAAATTACTTTATTGAAATGAATCCTTTGGATGTAGTAATGAGGAAAGACTGTTCATTAACTCTGCACCTCTGTTGTAGTGATTCAGGAAACAAGAAGTATGCCTCAAAACTATTGTGGATTAAAACAGTTAAAGAGGAGGACCTGAATTGTAATTATACCTGTCTCTTGAAAACTACAAATAAGCCACAATTAAAAATATTTAAACTGAAGAAAGGTACAGTATGATATAATACTCTTACTTCTGCAGTTTAATGACTTACAAATACTATATGTAGGCTTGGAAGGATTAGATTTTTATTGGTAAATGTCGATTTCACTGTACACACAAATTGATTAAAATATATTTCCATCAATAATAATCAATGTACAGACAGGCAAAGTAAGAAAAATGCTGCTTGAGAACTTAGTAAATATCCTTAAATCAAACTTTAATATGTATATTTTGACATGTCATGTTGACAATTTGTATTTTAATGGTTACAAAGTTTTGACTTTTTGAATCTCAAAGTCATTAAAACTTGTCTGAACCCCTCCCAATAATTTCCCACAATTGAGAAAATTTAAATCCATAAAAATAAAAAAAATGCTTAAAAATAAACATTGATATCATCCGTTGAAATTATTCCCCCCCCCCCAAATTATGCCAAGCCTAATGATATCCTTTAAGAATCAGCACTTAAGTTAAAGCCTGGGGAAGGGTTATTTCTCTGCATTCCTATTAGTACCCCCAAAGATCCCATCTCTACCATTTCCTCCTATGTATCTCCTTCTGGCTGAGGAAAACTGGTTTCAACACTACATGGCACACACATTGTCATGGTTACTGGGTAACTACACCACTGTCCCTTCTCAGGGTCTCTCTGAGTGGGCCCCAACTTAGTAGTTACAGAAATAGATTTAAAATAAGAGTCCTACAGGCATATTCCCTTACCTAAGCATAACCTCTCTATCCATAGCTCAGGCAGGCCTGACTTATTCCCCACCTCCGCGTTCAGAGAAGTAGCCTACACTGCTTGCGATCTTCTCCCTCTGTCTCTGTGGGTATGTCTACACTACAATCGAAGAGTGTTATTGCAACTCGAGTAGACGTATCTGAGCTAGCTTTAAGATAGCTAGTGAAGCTGCTGCAGCATGAGCTTCAGTACCATCTAGTTCTACAAGAAATTACCCAGGATCCCAGATGGGTTTAGACAGCCTGTGCAGAAATGCATGCCGTCACAGCTTCACTGCACTGGTACCCAAGCTATCTAGATTACAGCTAACTTGAGTATGTCTACTCGAACTGCAGTCACATCCTGTGACTACAAGACAGACATACCCAGTGTCTCTCTCATACTGAGAAGGTGGGCGTGTTAATATCTTTTATTGGACCAGCTTCTGTTGGTGAGAGAGACGAGATTTCGAGCTTATACAGAGTTCTTCTTCAAGCTTGTCTCTTTCACCAGCAGAAGCTGGTCCAATAAAAGATGTTACTACCTCACCCACGTAGTCTCTCTAATATCCTGGGACTGATACGACTACAACAACACTGCATAAAGATATCTCAGTCAGACTGTCAGCCTTTTCACTGACATATCCTGGCTACCAAAAGACCTGGCCTGGATAGAGCTAACTAGGTCAATTCTTCCACCAACTGATGGGCCAGCCATTGTTCTCTTCTAACTCCTTTGAATCTGTGTATGTGAGGCTCACTTATCTCTGTCATCGTCTTACCTTTCCTCCTACGTTCTGTAATAACCCCTTTACAGCCTCCAGTGGTTTAGCTCTAGTCAGTCAAGCAGCATTACAAAGCTGAATGGGGAAACTGAGTCACACACAATATTCTAGATTGGAATATCTGCTATGATGAAAAATAGAAAGTGAGACATTTTGGGGTTCTCCCAGAGCAGCTAGGGGTTCTGTCACTGTCTTCCTTGCATCTGTGGGGGCCTTTGTGCTGTGTAGCAAGGATTCAATGTCCTGACATCAGTAGCCTGCCCACAAGCATAAGGACTCACTCTAGCTCTTACCAGCCTAGTTTCTCTCTGCAGGGTGACACCAACAACCCTTCCAGTCCTGGGTGTCCCCATATACATCCTCCCTGCATTCTTAATTAGCAGACACTTGGACCGTTCCCCTCTGGTTTGTCACTCATAAAGATGTGAAACAGCCTCCCAGTTATCAGGTCACTTTGGCATATACATTCCACGTAGTTTGTACAACAGAGACCTGCTTAGGATAAAAATGCAAAGTTTATTTCATAGAAAAACAACAGATTCAAAGTTGAAATCAGAAGGGAAAGCAAACATAAAACGTCACACAGAAAATAAACATAAAGAAAAAACAAACAAAGCTGCAACCTCAGGCTTCACATTTTCATATTAGGTAAGATCCCCTTTCTAATAAGAGTTACCTATTGCCTTAAAACAGCTCCACAGTCTACCCCGCTGGGGATCCAATGTTCATGAACAGCCTCCCGCCTCCAGACTGTCCTTCCAGTTCTGGATGCTCTTCAGTTCAAACCCTTTCCATTTTAAAGGATTTTCAGTTTTTTTCCTTCAGTCACTATAGATATTCAAAGTGGGGAAAACTCCCTCCTTTCTTAGGCTACGTCTACACAGTTTACACTGTGCACATCCGCGCCGTTGTAAGGCACACAGTGTAGCTGCTCTTTGTCGGCAGGAGAGAGCTCCCAACCAGGGGCGGTAGCTTTCTCAGTGGGAGAGCATCTCCTGCTGACAAAGCGCTGTCCACACTGGCGCTTTTTGTTGGTAACGCTTTTGTGTAGACATAACCCCCCATCTTCAGAAATGAAGGCTTTCCTTTCAGTTTCAAGCTGTTCCCATTTGCTCTGATGATTCCTCAATGTTTTTTCCTGAGCTGGACAATAGTAGAGTTTTCTAGTTCTAGCTGTCAGATGATAATGACTTTTACTAAGAAAAATCATGTCATGAGCCACTTGTCACAAAGTTGTAATTTTTTGGGCTTTTGTTTTACAGGGAACCCTCCAGATCTCCACCCACATGTATTTACTACTGGAATAATCATGGCTGTATTCTTTACACTTGTTCCTGTGCTCCTGGTGGTTCTCTCTGTGATATTCAGAGTTGACTTAGTTTTATTTTACAGGGACATCACTGGAAAAGATGACACAATAGGAGGTAGGATTTGGCAAATGCTGCCATTGAAACAAGTTCATTTAGTGATATAGAACTATTAATAAAATAGTGTATTCTGGCTTCAGGTAGGTCCTATAAAATAATGAAATGGAAACAAAAGACAATCCAGGAGAGGAGGATAAGGCGTAGGAACAGGTGGAGAGGGCTAAACAAGGCAAGATTTGGCTCGGAGAGAAGTGTCTGGGATTGGGAGAAAATAGTAAAGGTGACAGATAGCATTACATGCTGTTAGCATGCATCATCCTATAATGTGTCCTGATTTTTTCATTCTGAAAGTCAGGGGTTGGTTGGTGGAGGAGAGAAAGAAGAGGCGATTGAGAAGACGAGTGCCCCGGAGCTGTAAAATTCCTTCTGTGCTCACCTGACTTGTGCTCTAGATTCATGTGCTTTCTGGAGATCACTGGAGAGATGCTGGTCCAGTGTTAATGAGGGTTGTCAATGTCAACCTTAAGGAGAGCAGGCTGTCACAAAGAAGACATCACTTGATGTTGACAATTGGCCAACTTGTTTTGGGTCTGATCTTCCCTTTGTGGTTTAGTTTCTGAGAAGGTTTTGGTGAGACAACCCTCATAGTATCTAGATGCCTCAGATTTCCTTAACCCTTGTCAGTCTGTATATACAGTACCTAGACTGCACTAGTTGCATAGGTTGGTAATCTCTTAATAATGCATGAAGATACATTGTATGTGCCAATATTTTTTTTCCTAATTCTATTATTGATCACAAGGCATTATTGACTCACTTGAGGACCTCCGAGTGCATGGTTGGGGCTACACTTGAGTGACCTCATTCCCATCTCTTGAAGAGATCCCAGAGATCCCTTAGGGCCTCTCTCATGTGGAGTTTTACACAGGTTTTCACTTTATGTTACCTCTTGTTAAACATGTATAGGAGGACATTAGGAGAGTTAGTACAAAACTTGGGTTGTGGTGTTGACATCCAGTTTTGTGTTAATGTGTCTTTTGACTCAGATGGCACAGTGGGAAGCTTTTCCCAGTGTCTGGTAGAGATCAGAACATGGTAGAGAGTGAGGTGACTGACCTTTAATCCAGATAAAGCAAAATTGATGTTAGTAGGTTGTGGAGAAACAGTGGAGGCTAGGAAGAAGATTATGTCCATTCCTGTGATTGCAGATGTGTGTCCTTGACTTGTTTCTTGTCTCCACAACTTGGGAGTCTGGTTAGATTCCCACTTTTCCCTGGATGACCAGATTTCATCAGGACTAGGACAGTCTTTTTCTTTTACCTCTGGATAGGAGGTTGAAGCTTTTACTCTTGGATACAGACCACACTAGTGTGATTTCATGCTTGTGTTACCTAACTGGTAGATTACTGCAGTGTGCTTTAATTGAGTCTTGATCTTAAAGCCTGCTTGTTAAGGTGGAGAATCTCACCAAAAACATGTTACACTGGTGCTTCATAACCGATAAAGGTGGATTATTGGTTTCTGCATGTACCATAAAGTTTTTGTCCTATAAAGTCCTAAATAGCCTAGGACCTGCCTACTTGAGAGAGCCCTTCTTTCCCCATATCATAGTACCACAGCTGAGATCAGTTAGAAGTGTTCAAGATGGAATTATCTCAGTAGAAATGAGGTGGCCCACTTTTTTGTGAGCGCCCCTGAACTTTGGGACTTGCTTCATGGCCGTTGGTCTAAGGTAGCGTCAATTTGTTGAGCTATCCTTTGTTAAGCTATCCTTTTTACAGTGGATTTTGGGAGGTGCTGCTTGAGGAAACTATATTTGAAGAGGACAGGGTGCTATTTTTCATTGTTCAGTTATAAGGTTTAATTAGTTGCTATATATGGTGGCAGTTGCTGCTGAATTTGTCTTTATGTTTTGGGGTATGTGTGTGTGTGTGTGTGTGTGTGTGTGTGTGTGTGTGTGTGTGTGTGTGTGTGTGTGTGTGTACTTACTC